GCAGGCTTTTGTGTAACTACTCTTTGGAGTCATATTGGGGGCTCCTTTTGAGCACCGTCACTCACTGGCCTGGTCTCTGATGGCAGAGGAACCCTTTCAGACCATAGTGATCATTCCCCCTGCAGTCAGATGGTATTAAAAACAGGTAATTTATCCCAAACCACCCCTGGGAGTGAAGGAGGTGACATCTTCCCATAATAATAAGTGAGAAAGGGACACTTAGAGTGACGGCGCTCACCAACACCACCACGTGCTGCAAATCATTTGGCTCTCAATGGCAGCAGCAGGACCCCAAATTCCCAGGTCCCAGGCACATTGCCAGGCCATTGCTAGAGCAAAGAGTATCATCTACCCTCATCATTCTGTTGCATTGCAGCTTTTAGGGCCTCAACAGGCATTGCCCAGGCCTGAGTGCGATCAGACCAGGAGGAAGGGCAACGCACAGTTGTAGGAACACTTCCCCAGCCTGTGACTAAGAGCCCACCTGCAGCATCAGCACTAATGCAGAAGAGAGGCTACAGCCCTCTTCCCCTTCCCTGCTCACGTATTAAATCCACACCTCCAGCAAACTTGGCTTGCAAGTGCTAAACTTTTACAGCATTGAAACCTGATCAGAAGAGATTTGCATGACCAGCCAGTAAAACCACCAATAAAAGTGCTTTTCCATCAGTGCCTCTGGCAAGGGCTCCCTCCTCCTGGCAGCTGCCGGGACAGGGAGATCAGATTTTCTAGTATTGGCAAAACACTACATGACTGCTTTCCAAACCCCTCCAAGGCACTCTTAAACCTACCTAGGCAGGCTGGAGACATCGTCCTCATAACTCCTGAACAAACACCATTTGTAAGAGCAGTTCTCAAAGAGGATGTTTGATCAGGGTAGAAAGGATCTTTTGTACCCAGATATGTATCTGAGGAGGCCTGCCATGAGACAATGAGAGACACAAGTTTATGTTCTTAGATAAATACATCTGCTGTGAACAGGACCACATAATATATCCCCCTCATTCCTTTAAGGAAAAATGCAGTTTTTCTAGGATCATAGGAACCAAATTGTTTTAAATCATTTGAAATCAAAGCAAACAATCCTTATTAAGCAATTATATCCCAGCTGTTTTAAGCTCAGGACCATCACAGAACAAAGACTTGCTTTGAGGTACGAGGTGGTGGCAGACACCCAGCAAGATCCAGATGACTCCAAAATGAAAAACAGATCAATACTTGTGATCTCCCACATCTTCTTCCCCAGTCCTGATATCTATAGTGGAAAAGGATCCTGGTGCTCACTCCATGTGGGCCCCAAGACACTGCCCCAGAATATGCAGAAGATAGGAGGGTTCACCCCTGCCTCGCTGCATAGGCTAGCTGGGAAATCACAAGTGCCCCACAAGTGCCATGGGGAAGAAGCGTCTTCTGGTGAGCTTTAGCCAGAAAAACCTCCTGGCAACAGAGGAGCACAAGGGCTTGATACCCAAGGAATGTGAAGCACTGTCCCATCTGCTCATCATCTCCACTAAGCTGCATACACCTCTCTTTGCCATACTCGAAGCCACAACCATATCCTGTGTTCCAGCTGACCTTCTGGTAAAGGGAGACTTGGTTGCTACAAAATGTACCTTACTAAACAGTACTGCATGGAAAGAGGTTGCCTTAAGGGGTTGTGCCATGCCCGGCGGATCTGTCTAATCAGCTTTTTCTGATGCCCAGTGCAGAGTTTCCCTTTCTACATTTTATCCCATTCTTCTTTGTTTATCCTGCTGTAATATGACATGTTAGTCTGCTCAGGCATTTCCAGGTTAGGGTCATCACATTAATGCATTAAACAAATGAGGATTTCTAGTGACTTTAAGAAACTTCTCATATATTGCTTACACTAATGTTCTGATCATATTTGTTCCTTTACTGGTCTTGACATTTGCCAATACCTTCTCATAACAAGAGCATCCAAACTGGACTCAGGTTCTAGTCAAACCAGAAACAAATAGAGCTGGTGTATCTTCCCTATGTCTGTAAATACAGCACCAAATTGCACTGGCATTTTTTACTGCCCCATTATTTCGCAAATTTAGCTCTAATTTGCAGCACTCTCTCCCTCCGTATCTCTTGCAGCCTTCCTTGGATTCTCATTCCCAGTTATTTATTTGCTTTTATTCTTTCTCATGGGATTCATTTTCTTTTTCACCAGTTAGACCCTGCCATCATTTATCTCCTCCCTGCGGTCCAAATGCGCTCACAAACTGCAGTAGCTGAGCTCTGCAGAAGTATCTCGACGCACACTAATCCCATTAAAGGCTCTCCAGTCACCTGGTATTTCTCAGTTCTCTGCGCTATTTTCATTTCATCTTTGAATCCCATTGCCTTGCAATTTCAGATCATTAAGGGGTTAAGTGAGCTATATCCATTAGATGATGTCCATTAGATGAGATAAATCCAAATAAAGGGATTTGGATTTCCCAATTCAGTGTGCTGCTGTTTCTCATCACCTCTTCTATCAGTGTTTCAGAGTTTTCCAGACACGCAGAGACAAGGTCTCTTGCCAGAACCCATTTGGATTAAACTGGGTCCCAGCTGCAAATAGTCCAAAGTGATTGGAAGGGTTAGCAAAAAGATCCCAGAAGAGTCACCCAGAACATCTATTTACTTATGGCTCCTTGCAAAGTGGAAAGAAAATGCTATCTAAAATGTGGATTCACCTTCCTTCAGATCTCACTTTGCATTTTTTCAAAATGGGATTTTTTTACCATCTCTTCCACAGGCAAGGAAGCTAGCCAGCACTGAACTCTATCCTTCACTTTTAATCCTGGTAATCACAGAGAAATGAGACCTTGATTGCCAGTTTTTATAACCTTCCTAAGAGCTATCTGCTCCTTTTGTCAGGATTCAGAGGAAGGAGGAGGAGGAGGAGGAGGTGGCAGAAGCCTGGCCCTGGGGTCCCCAGTCCTGGCATCGTGAGACCACAGTCAGGGGAAGAGCAACCAGCGCTGCTATAGCATGTGAGATGGGCATCCGTTGGATGCAGTAAGTATTCCTTGGAGAAAGGTGTTCCTCTGTACTGTTATCACCTTCAGATTCCTTTTGGGGCAGTTTGGGGCTGTGTTTACTGCTTTCCA